AGTGAGCACCAGCACAGACACAATGTTGTCTCGCCCAAAGGACAGTATCTCCGACAGTGAACTGGACTGTGAGCTGCTGTTTCGTGTGTGCGTTGCCTCACAGTCCTGTTACTACCATCTGCCAATGCCCTGTGTGCTGCTGCCTGAGCTCAGTGCGGGAGCGAGTGAGTGGCAATAGCCGGCAGGCAATTACATTACATTGGCCGCACAAGGGAAAGGTTACATCTACAGCTCTGTCAGCTCAGCCTACTGCGTCTGTATCTCTGCTTCTGTCCAAAAAAATAATAATAATGTGGTCGCTCAATCCACGACTGTTTGTGGGACACTGCTGTATGCAGTTAGCTGCCACGTTTTGCCCCCAAAATACACAGTCACTACACTTTACAGTATGTCCTGTGAAGCACTTTGAGACGACTTAACGACGTGAAAAGGATTATTCTCGCGGCAGTATGCCAGCTAACGTTGCCGGCTCGGGGAGGGTAACCAGTGGTGACAGGATTCCAGTGGAGCATTTCCACATGGTTACCCCCGCTGTGTGCTCCTGAGGCAGCTCACACCCCGCCCCACCCCACCCGGCTCTGCAGTGGAGCATTAGCCACAGAGCAACACACACACACTGGGGCTGCTGCACGGCTGCTCAGGTTGCATTGCTGCTGCGTGTGGGGTTAGGCGTTGGTGGTGCTGCTGGTCTGTGAGTCCGAGCCCCCCTTCCTGCCTCCTCCCTCCTACCCAAGCTCCTCCCTCCCTCCCTCTCTCCCCAGATTCCTCCCCTTCCTCTCCAGGAACGTATAATAATAATACTTAATTTGATGTAACGCCTTGTCACATCATTGAGACGCCTCAAATCGCTTCACAGCATATACTGTAATGGCTGTGGGCAAACTGGGCTGCCACATTCACAGTCACTACACTTTACAGAATATAATGTGAGATGGTTTCCTGATGTGATAAGCTGCTGTATCGAATGCACAGCTTATTATTATTATTAGTTTGGTGTAGCCCCTAGGCTCCACCTGTTCCCCCCCCCCCGTCTGATTCTCCACCAGCCCCCACCCTGCCCACCCCGAGCACAGAACACGGTTGATTTACAGTCTCCGCACACAAGCAGAGAGGCGGCTGATGGGAGTTTTTCATGCAATCAAAGGCAGCCCTTATCTGCGACCACCTTCCCAAGGGATTATTTTAATTTAAAGTTAATTTAAGGATCAAAGCCTCGGAGCTTGTGGCTGAAGCAACAGGAAGCGGTGAGCGAGGGAGGGAGGGGCTGCAATTGGCTGCTGCATTTCGCCCACAAAATATACAGTCAATTCATTTTACGGTATATTCTGTGAAGCGCTTTGAGACGTCTCAACAATGTGATAAGGCGCCGTATCAAACGCGGGGATTATTATTATTATTATTGTGATTTCAGCTCTGCTCTGCTCATGGGTGGCTCTGATAGCCATTCCCGGGAAAGCAGTCAGAATTCCCATTTCTCCAGTGCCTGAGGTCCCGCTGCTCAGCCCACACTGGGGTCTGTGTCCGTGTTAGGCACACGGACGTCTGGAGCAGTTAGTATGTGTGTTCGCTGGCCGAGCTGCTGTGACAAGATGAGATAAAACATCGTCAACATGCGCACACTGTGCAAGCACTGAACCTGGGCTATTTAAATAGATTCAAATAACGGGAACAACATCAAGTGGAGAGACACGAGAGGCTGGTTACATAACCAGCATCCAATCAGCAGCCCCCAGCGCTCGCTCACTCCTCGCTCTGTACTCTCCTCAGTCTCGTGTCTCGTTCTCTCCTGTTCGATTCCCCCACAAAATACACAGTCAATACATAAGAACATAAGAAGGTCCATCTCATTCGCCTTCCACCATCCTGGCAGTCGCTTGACATATCGTGTCCCAAACTATACCCTCTGTCTGTATGTACGTGTTTGTGTGTATCTATATCCCGAGATATTAATTTGTAACAGAAATCTATCTAATTTTTCTTGAAGCAAAAGGTGTTTTCTGCTTCCACCGTCTCCCTCGGGAGTCAGTTCCATACGTTTACAACTCGCTCACTGAATTAGTGTCTCTGCAGATTTGTTCTGAATTTAACCCCCAACCCCACCCCTTCAATCAATCACAGTAATTCCCTTTACTGTAAATCTTGTGAAACGCTTTGAGACATCTGGAAGATGTGATAAGGCCCTGTATCAAATGCGAGGATCATTATTATTATTACCTTCATCATCAACAAAAAAAGCCTCCAAATATAATCATTTGTTTGCTCCACAGCTGTTTGCAGGGACGTCGATGTTCGCAAACTGGCTGCCGTATTCGCCCACTAAACACACACAGTCATGGAACTTCACAGTGAAATCCTGCCAGGCGCTCCGAGACACTCTCCTGATCTGAAAGGCTCTAAATGTGTTAATGTGACATTATTATTGTTATGTTCATCATCGTCCCTGAGATTTCAGCCGTGGCGACAGAGGATTACACGGTGCAATAAATCACCCCATCGTCACGTGTACAGCATCATGCACAATCACGTGTTACTGTCATCACACACACGGAGCAGCCACAACCAGGGCTGAATCTCTCTCTCCGTGAATATAATAATAATAATAGTAATAACGATAGTAATAATCATCTTTGCATTTGATACAGCGCCTTATCACGTCGTCGAGACGTCTCAAAGCGCTTCATAGGATATATCGTAAAGTGAATTGACTGTGTATTTTGTGGGCAAAACACAGCAGCCAATTGCACAGAGCAGCGTCCCCACAAACAGCCGTGGATTGAGTGACCAAATTATTATTATTATTTTTTAAGGGATTATTACACCTGGAAAATTGACTAACAATCAGGTTCCTACCTACTGCTAAATGAAGAGAGGCGTGTGGAGGAAGGAAACTTGCCCAACATTTTGCCCTGCCTGGGAACTGAACCCGGGTCCTCTCGGTTGCGAGGCGAGTGCTCTAACCACTAAGCTACAGGACTCCACAATGAGTGATTAGACCCCAGTCAGGATCTGGGGTTTAAACATCCCCCATTTCTGAGCAGTCTCTGTCTCTGGCTGAGCTATTTACATGGTGAAGCTCTTCCGAGCTTGCTTTGTGCTCTCTCTGAGATAAAAGTTAAGTCAAGTGTCTTTAACATGAAGTTCAGCGCCAGCGATACGGGCAGCGATGGACATTTACTGTGACATTGAATCACATTAATCAGTTCACATGTCGTACAAATGTCATTGTAAATCAGCCGTTTTCCCCCCTGATCAGCCCAGCCACACGGCAACACAGAAATGTCAACTTCAGCTGTTTGGCACTGTATCACATGGAGCCAACACAGGCCAGCAGCGAGAGGGAGAGAGAGAGCAGCATCCGCTTGTGGTCACTAGAGGAGCTCGGTAACGGGTACAAAAACCTATGGGGACCACTTCTATCCATGACTGTCTGTGGGACGCTGCTGTGCGCAATCGGCTGCCAAGTCTCGCCCACAAATATACCATCAACTCACTTTACATTATATCCTGTGAAGCGCTTTGGGACGTCTCGAAGACATGATAAGGCGCTTTTATTAAATGCAAGGATTATTATTATTAATACAGGGCTCCCCCCAGCACCCCGTTACAGTGTCCCCGACAATGAGCTCAAAGTCCCTGATGTCGGGGGGTGGGGGGGGGGGGGGGACGAGAGGAGAGGGGGCTTGAACCCACAACCTCCTGACCACACAGACAAGCCCCTGAGCCGGGCTGACATCTCTGGTCCCATCACCCAATGACGGCACATCGTTTGCGCAAGAAACAGAAAATGTAAAGTAAATCCATAACTTTTATTTCTCTTTTAAAAATGATAAGTAAAGCTGTCAATAAAATCTGGAGCTCTGTAAAATATCATAAACAGTTCACAGTGTGAACCCAGGCACCCAATGCCCTCCCCCTCCCCCCGCTACGCCCTCCCCCAAAAGACCCACCACTCTCTCACTGGCGGGCGGTGTGGGGGGGAGCTCATCACTGCCCTTCCCCCCTGCTCTCCACTTCCCTCAAAATACCTAAATACCCCCCACTCACTGACAGTGTGGTAGGGGGGGCGGGGGGGGGGCAGCTCAACATTTACTGTCACTAAAAAGAACATTGTATTTTGCCCAAAAGGGCAATACGGGACATGTGTGTGTATTTCTGTGTGTGTGTATGTGTGTATTTCTCTGTGTGTGTATGTATGTGCGTGTATGTGTGCTTATGTGTGCCTATCTGTGCACCTGTATGTTAGTGTCTGTGTGTGTCTGTATGCATGTACGTGTGTTTATGTGTTCATATGTTTGCACCTGTATGTTAGTGTGTGTGTGTGTATGAGGGTGAATGATAGTAGTGTGTTATCAGCTCATTTACAAGTGGAAAATATTAGTGACAAAAAGAGGGGTGCGGAGCTGTGAGGTGTGTTGTGTTAGTGATTCTGACGAAAGGTCATGGACCTGAAACGTTAACCCATTTCCTCTCTCCATAGATGCTGCCTGATCTGCGGCCTGACCGTCTGAGTGTTCCCGACCACTTCTGGTTTTTATTTCTGCCTCTTTCTCGTATTGAAAACTGTTTCCAAGTAACAGGGGGGGACCAAAAAGTCGTGATAACTACCCTATCATCTAGAAAGAAAATCAAAACCATTATCATTTCTTTAAGACTTATTAGACATTGTAATGGTATCACGACTTCTTGGTCGCCCTGTATAAAACGTCTCACGGCTCACGTCTTCACATTCATTCACGTGGGGGTGAGGGGGTGGGGTCTTAGTGAGCAATTTCGCCCCCTCCCCACCCCCCCTCCCTCCCAGAACAGAGTGACACTGAGCACAATTACAACATCAGTTACTTACACAATAATTAAAATGTCACTTCTTTTAAAACAGATAAAATAACTCTTAAATTTCTTTTTAATTATCAGGTTAAAGTCCGTGCAAAGCTTCTAGAATTAAGTGATTCCTTTTTTTTTTGCTCTCTCTCGCTCTCTCTGTCTGTCTCATTCTCTCTCTCTATATTTTACAGAACACCTGGCTGGGTAGGTCTGGCCGGTTAGAAGTGCGTCTCTTTCTCTGTGATGGTCGACACATAGCCATCCCCTCGGTGCTTGGTTTCGTAGTCATTGGCTGTGACCAGGGAGCTCTTCCCTCTCATCTGCAGCTCAGGGCTTGGTGTGGTCAGCTTCCTGAACCTCTGTCAGAGTCAAGGCAGCCAGTGTTAGGGGCGAGAAAGAGAGCGACAGAGAGAGACACATAGGTAGAGAGAGACACACACACACACAGGGAGAGGCAGAGAGAGAGACACACACACACACAAACACAGAGAGAGGCAGAGAGAGAGACACACAGAAACATCAAGACAGAGAGACACAGAGCAAGACAGAGAGACACTCACACAGATTTATGTAGAGAGAGATAGATAGAGACAGAGAGAGAGACACACAGAGAGACTTCCACACAGAGCTAGACAGCGAGAGAGAGAGAGACAGAGAGAGACACACAAACATACAGAGCGAAAGAGAGAAAGAGAGAGATCGAGAGACACATAACAGCGAAAAGAGAGACAGAGAGGGAGAGAATAGAGATAGACAGCGAATAGAGAGAGTGAGAGAGAATAGAGATAGACAGTGAATAGAGAGACTGAGAGAGAATAGGGATAGATACACAGCCAAAGAGAGTGAGAGAAACCGGGAAACAGAGAGAGAATAGAGAGAGATACAGCTAGAGGGATGGAGGAGGGAGAGAAATGGAGGAAGGGAGGGATCAGAGAGAGAGGTACCTGTGACAAGGTGCCGTCGACCTGGCTGAGTTTGTAGAGGATGCCGAAGGGGATACAGAGCATGGAGGAGAGGGCGAGGAGCCAACCCAGGCCGTGGCCCCAGGTTGGGTATGTGTAAACGTTGTTATATTTGAGCGGTTTGTATCTCACAATGAAGAAAATGAAGATTCCCTGAGGAATGAGAGCAGAGCGTCACACAGCACAGAGCACAGCACAGCAACCCACAGACACACAGCACAGTACACAGCACAGCAACCCACACACACACAGCGCACAGCGACACACAGCACAGCAACCCACAGACACGCAGCACACAGCACAGCAACCCACAAACACACAGCACAGCAACCCACAGACACACAGCACAGCAACCCACAGCACACAGCACAGCAACCCACAGCACACAGCACAGCAACCCACAGCACACAGCACAGCAACCCACAGCACACAGCACAGCAACCCACAGCACACAGCACAGCAACCCACAGCACACAGCACAGCAACCCACAGCACACAGCACAGCAACCCACAGCACACAGCACAGCAACCCACAGCACACAGCACAGCAACCCACAGCACACAGCACAGCAACCCACAGACACACAGCACAGCAACCTACATACACACAGCACAGTACACAGCACTGCAACCCACAGACACGCAGCACACAGCACAGCAACCCACAAACACACAGCACAGCAACCCACAGCACACAGCACAGCAACCCACAGCACACAGCACAGCAACCCACAGACACACAGCACAGCAACCTACAGACACACAGCACAGTACACAGCACTGCAACCCACAGACACACAGCACACAGCACAGCAACACACAGCCACACAGCACAGCACGCAGCACAGTGGATCACACAGCGACTCACACCCACACAGCACAGTGCAGCACACGACTCACAGCGCACAGCACATACAGCACACAGTGACTCACAGCAACACAACAGCCACACAGCAACTCACAGCCACACAGCACAGCCACACAGTGACTCACAGCCACACAGCACAGCAACTCACAGCGCACAGCACATACAGCACACACAGTGCACAGCGCACACAGCACAATGCAGCACCTCGTGGGAGGGACTGGCAAGTGTAGTGACTGTGTATCTCTAGGGACACGAGGGCACACCCACCGCCCGGTCGCTCACGTCCAATTACTGTTTATTAAACCCTCACTGATTCAATCTCTTTTTTTTCAAATGTCAAGTGTAAACAGGTCCTGAACTTCTTCATCTTGAAAATAGAAAACATCTGCCTGACTGCTTCCTCCTCCCCCCCTTCCATATCCCCTAGCCTCCCCCACCCCCCCAACTGCCTCCCCCACCCCCCCAGCTGCCTTCTCCTCCCCCCACCCGCCACCCGTTTCCATGTACATCACCCACTCCTTCCGTCACAGCTCCTTTCACTCCATTACCCCATTTCTCCTCCTCACTCTCAACCATCAACACCAAGCCCATCACCTGCTCCCTCAACCCCCTCCCCACCCAGCTGCTAGTCAGTCAATTCCCACTCCTCCGCCCCCTCTGAAACTTTTGAACTCTCTCCCTCAATCTCTCCGTTTGCCCCTTCTGTCCCCTTTTTCATGTTGCACCTGAAGACTTTACTCTCTGATCTTGCCTAAGGTCACCTCCCCCCTCCCCCCAGCTCGGTGACGTGCTCCACCTCTGTTAAACGTGTGAGGGGCGCTGTGTAAATGCAAGTTGTTGTTATTTCACTAAATGAAGTGGGATCGGGAATGGGAAGGGCTGAGATGGGAAGGGCCGAGATGGGAAGGGCCGGGATGGGAAGGGCTGGGATGGGATGGGATGGGAAGGGCCGGGATGGGAAGGGCTGGGATGGGAAGGGCCGGGATGGGAAGAGCTGGGATGGGAAGGGCTGGGAGACTGGGATCTGGCATCAGGAACTTACACCACAAATCCCGGGAGTGATGAACATCCAGCACCATTTAATCAGGATAAACGGTCGGTATCCGATCATATCTTCAATGTTGTCATAGAAACGATTGCTCCCTGGAACAGGCAGAAGGTCACTGTTAGCCCCGGGGATTGGCGGCCAGGAACCGCGAGAGAAACTTCCGGCTCTGATCCCCCTCAACATCCTCCTCAACAGGGCAGGCAAGAGCTTGGCTTAACATCTCATCCGCAGGATGGCACCTCCAGCAGCGCTCTCTCCCCCCAGCGTCAACCGAGACTGTGAGCTCAGAATCCCCTTGAAACCACAACCTCCTGCTAGTCCAGTGCCCCCCCCCCACCCCAGCCAAAAGCCACCCAACCCCAGCCCCCACCACCACCCAGCGCTGGGTGTCACATCACCATACCGTAAAACCAGCCAATACAGATACACTCAAAGATGGCCACAAAGAGCAGACACATCCCACTGGAGGCGTAGGCATCGAACAGCTGGAACACGTACATCCCCCCCTGCCGGGAAACACCGAGAAACACAGTGTCAGCACGGCACAGAACACCGGAGTGACCGACACCAACACCGCGGACAGGAGAGAGCAGGGAATAGGGTTAGGGTAGAGAGCTCCAGTGGAGCAGCGAGCACCAGCACAGACATGATGGTGAGAGAGGGTGGGGGCTGGGGTCGTGTGGGAGGGTGGGGGGGGTGGAGTGGCGCGGTGAAGGGAGCAGTTGACCACTCACCTCCGTCACCATGAAGAGGCCTATCAAATAGGAGATAATGGCAATGATACAGATGAGCTGTTCACGTCGGTAACCCTTGCGGAAGATGTGGGGGTACATGTCAATGACAGCCGTCACCATGCTCTCCATACACACAAACTGCAGAGACACAGAGAACAAGTGAGAGTGAGGGGAGGGGGAATTAGTGAGAGAGAGAGATAGGGGAGGGGGGAAATCAAGTGTGAGAGAGATAGAAAGATCGGGAAAGAATGAGAGAGGGAAAGAGAGAGACAGCGGGAGAGGAAACAAGTGAGAGAGAGTGAGGGGGTACAAGTGAGGGAAGGGAATGAGTGTGAGAGAGGGAAAGAGAGAGAGGTGGGGAATGAGTGAGAGAGAGGGTGGGCCTGGGGGCCCCTGGGGTGGGGGGGGCGCTGAGGACCTACCTGACTGTCGAGCCCCAAGAATATGAGCATGAGGAAGAAGAGAATGGCCCAGAGCGGGGAGAGCGGCATCATGGTCACTGCCTTTGGGTAGGCGATAAACGTCAGCCCAGGACCTGGGGGTAAAGGTCAATATCAGCCTCGTCACAGCAAATACAGCGGCACAGAGGGGAAGAGGCTCAATGGCAACCACTGGCCCGTGAGGAAGGGGGAGAGAGCTAGGTGGAGAGAGCGAATGAGGGAGGGAGACAGAGCGAGGGAAAGAGAGAGCGAGGGAGAGAGAGGGAGGGAGGGAGGGAGGGAGGGAGGGGGAGAGAGAGCGTGAGGGAGGGAGGGAGGGAGGGAGGGAGGGAGGGAGAGAGAGTGAGTGAGTGAGTGAGTGAGGGAGGGAGGGAGGGAGGGAGCGAGGGAGAGAGTGAGAGAGAGAGAGAGAGAGAGAGAGAGGTAGTTCGGGCTGGAATTCGTCACGTTGTCAGATTTAGTTTTTATTGTTAAATTGAAAAAGGAAAAAAAAAATCCACTTTCACTTGAAACCGAAACTAGGAAATTGTACGGAAATGATGGGAGTTTCCATGGAAACAGGAGTGAGCGGAGTGGAGCTGGTGCTGCCGTTCCCCTGAGTTGCCAGAGGGGGGCAGTATGTCACCAACCCCAGCCCCACCCTGACCGAGACTCGGCTATAACTGGGTGGGTGGGGGGGGGGAGATTGTGGGAAGGTGGAACCTGCGCCTAATACTCTCTGGAATTAGATAAGCCGGATGCCTCCCTCCAGAGAGAGATTCCATTCCGTTCTGTCAATCTATCTCTGGGAGTTCCACGTGAAGGTGGGATGCGTGGAATTCTCAGTCTGGTTTGGAGACTCTTTAGCAACGATGATGGGTTTCCCCGTGTGTCAGACACCCGGCCGGGCAAATAAACATATATAAGTAACTGCAACAAAAACGGAAGTGGCTGAGAAGCCTCAGCAGGTCAGGCAGCGTCTATGGAGAAAGGAAAGTGAGTCAACGTTTTGGGTCCACGACCCTTCGTCAGAAGTGGGGCATGTGAAAGGGAGAGGCTTTTAAGGGCTAACAGAGAGGGAGGGGAGGCAGGGCAGGGAAGACAAATTGTGGGGGGAAGAGGGGGGCGTTTGATGGTTCCCTCACGGTCCCGCGGTGATGGACACCCACCTGACTCGGCCACCTCTGCGATGGGCACTCCCTGCTCGTACGCCATAAACCCCAACACGGAGAATATGGCAAAACCGGCCACAAAACTGGTGCCGCTGTTCAAGCAGCAAAGCATGATACAGTCCCTGGGGAGGAGAGAGGCTGTCAGCCACCAGGCTTACTGGCTGTTAGATGGCTGTATTGGGTGGGGGCTTCGTGCAGGGAGGGGTTGTGTGTGTGTGGGGGGGCTGTATGCCGGGGCGTGGCTGTATGCGGTGAGGGGTTGAGTTTCTGCGGGGGCTGCGTGCCTGGGGGTCAGTGTACAGTGGGGTGAGGGGGGGTGAGTTGTGGCCGGCTGATCATTGAGCCCAGTCATACGTTTATACAATAATAATTCCGGTTTAATCCCATGACTGTAACGGTGAAACATCTGGAAGTGCTTCATGGGGCATTGGCTTCCAGGCGAGTGTAGTGACTGTGAGTGTGAGGTACCTGTAGCAGTAGTCATGGTAGAGGGTGTGAGTTAGTGTGTGGTGAAGTGACTGTGAGTGTGTGGTGGAGTGACTGTGCGTGTGGGGTACCTGTAGCAGTTGTTGTGATAGGGGTTGTAGCTACCCAGTGCAGTCAGGCAGCCCAGGCAGATAGCGTAGGAAAAGAAGATCTGTGTCCCAGCGTCCACCCAAACCTGCCAACAGTACAGCGTGTGAGACAGCAACAGCGACCAATCAATAGTATATACAGCGCACACACACACACACACACATACACACAGCGTGAGAAACAGCAACAGCGACCAATCAATAGTGCATACAGCGTACACACACGAACACACACACACAGCATGAGAGACAGTGACCGATGCACACTGTACACAAAGAGAACAACGGGCAAGCCATAGGAACAGCAGCAGGCCATTCAGCCCCTCAAGCGTGTTCCCCTATTCTATTAGATCATAGCTGATCTGTACCTCAACTCCAATTACCCAGCATTGCCCCTGGATACCCTGCCCTAACAGATATCTCTCCACCTCCGTCTGGGGATGAGAGACTCCGGGAAGTGAGCTGGGAATGCTGCGAGACCCAACTCATACGTGTGTGCAGGGAGGGGGGTGCGAGCGAGGAGGGGGAGACAGAAGAGTAAGTGGGTGGAGGAAGGAACGAGGGAGAAGGGGCAAGCGGGGGTGGCGGGAGGAGAGCGAGGGGGGAGAAGGGGGATTTGACTCAATGCGAGCACACACAGCACAAAGCTGAAGCCGCGGCTATTTGAACGGGTAATTTACCGCGATCCGGCCTGTCAGCCCCAGATAAAACCCGCTGGATTTATTGTGCACGTCTCCGGGCTGGTGAAGGCAGCGTTGTGTGGGGGGAGAGCTGAGTGACATGCTATTGAAGCGTGTGTCTAACTCACGGGCAAACTGCACACATCAAAGGTCATGAGAATAGCAAAGGGGATTGTGTGGACAAAGAACAGGAAGTGGCTCTGGCACTCACACATCACACAGACAAACAGCGACATTAGCATAATTCTCTGTGTTCAGTAGCACTGCCAACCCCAGAGGTGTGAGTGTGGGCAACAGAGACAGCAAACCCACAGCCTGCACTCGCTCTCGGACTCTATCTCTCACTCTCTGTCCCTTGGTGTTTATCATTCTCAACTAAATGCCAATCCCTGGCTGTAGTACAGATGTAACACGCTGTGAGACTCTACACTGGTGAGGGGCGCAGTAAAACCATAAGAATTTGCTGGCAAATGGAGACCAAGGTTCACCTTCCACCATCTTGGCAGTCGCTTCCCATTTCGTGTCCAAAACTATATACTCTATCCCCAGATATTATTTTCCAGCAGAAATATACAAATGCAAGTTGTTGTTGAAACTTCAAATTGTCCCAAAGAGCTTCCACTGGGAAGTGGAGACCAAGTGTAGTGACTGTGTATCGCAGACTCCAGCTCCAAACTGCCTGAACTGTGAGGGCAAAGTCCCTGATTTCTCTCTCTCTCTCTCTCTCTCTCTCCTGCTACTCTCTCTTTCCCCCCTCTCTCTCGCCAATTCTGACACATCAGCTAATTCCTATCAGACAGTCTATCTCTGGGATTTCCATGTGTAGGTGGGATGCATGGAATTCTCAGTTTGGTTTAGAGACTCTTAAGCAACGGTGATGGGTTTCCGCATGTGTCAGACACCCGGCCGGGCAAAAAATACACTTTGGGTATGTATGAGGTTAGGCCGAGGCTGACCCTCTGGCTAGACTTCAGTTTAATCCCAGCCTGTCAGGTGTGCACTGTGAGTTTGTGACTGTAGCTACAGAGCGTGAGCTCGTGAATTAGTGTAAAAGTGAGCAATGGTTTCATAGCTGTCCTGTCCCACTGAAAGCCTAAACTCCCACCACTGGAGTTATTTATAATTCCGTTTGTTTACACTGGGATGGTGTGGGGCCCAAATTCACCCCGATTCAGAGAGTCACTATGAGTTAAGTGGTGAATATTCCCCCTCTCCCCACCCACCCACCCACCCCATCCCCACCACACACACACTGCTCTGTAGTATCAGCAATGAGATGCTCTGGGCACTTTGCCATATCTCCAGCGGGCCGGTCACACACACTACCAAACTCTTACCCACTCTGTGTTTACATTCCCCATCTGTTACTCACTCACTCACTCACCCATCCACTCACACACTCACTCACTAACGTGATCACTCATTTGCTCACTTATTCATTCACTTGTTCGCTCACTCATTGTTGCCCAGTTGCTCACTCACTCACTCACTCTCTCTCTCACTCTCCCTCTCACTTACTCTCTCTCTCTCCCTCTCCCTCTCACTCACTCTCCCTCTCACTCACTCTCTCGCTCTCCCTCTCACTTACTCTCTCTCTCTCCCTCTCACTCCCTCTCACTCACTCACTCACTCACTCACTCTCTCTCTGTCGCTCAGGGTTTCAGTGGATTGGAGTGGCGGGCTGTGATGTAATCGTCAATGAACCTTCACTCGGACCCGGATGACCTATCAGGTCAGATCTCTCTGCCCCATGCCAGCCCGTCGGCCCACACTCAATAGCCTCCCCTCCGCCCCCCCACCCCCAGGCTCACAGCCCCCCACCTCATACACATATGCCAAGTGGCCGGAGTGACAGGCTGGCCTGCTTCCCTTGGGGAACTTCTAGCATGCAAGCCAGAAATTCCTAGCTGTAAGTGAGCCTTGGAAGGCCCTGAGGCCTGGGTGAGGGTCTCGTCCTGTACTATTTTTGAATCGTTTGTAAGTTTGATGCTTGGATATTCTGTCTGTGCTGAAATCCATCTCCCTTCCCGCTCCCACTCCATCCACTGCATGCCCCTCCCCCACCCCAATCCCACCCCTGCCCCCCCAAGCCATCCCCATCACCCCATCTCCCAACACTCCCCCCCCACACCCCCTCCCCAGCGAGACGGCGCAGTAATAGTACAGCACAGCACAGTAGGTGGGGGAGGAGGGGGAGGAGGGGACGGAGAGAGCGCCTCATTGTTGGAGACGCCGTCTTTCGAGACGTTAAACTGAGCGTTTGTCGGTGCTCTGTTCAGGCGGACGTTAAAGATCTTCACAATGCTACTGCTGGGAAAAGAGAAGTGAGTTTCTCTCTCGTCCGGTGTCCTGGCCGACAATGCCCCAGATAAAACCACTCGCTCACTTCATGGCAGTTTGTGGGGACATCGCTGTGTGCAAATTGGCTACTGTGTTCACCCACAAAACACACAGTCACTACACTTGAGAACGATTACACGTAAGGCTCTCTGAGTGGTTTTGAGATGCAGGGATTTTTATATGATTATTAATGTGATGCCAGTGTCCACACACACACACACACAATGAAACCCATTGTAAGTGTATAGTTTGCCCTGTGTGGTGGGGGGGTTGCAGATTACTGGTAATAATTCCTCCCTCCAGTAAATCAGGACCTGGGGATAATGAGCTTAGGGAATTCCGACTGTCTTTAAATCTCGGAAAGCTCCATCACTGGGAATTTCTGGTCTTGTGACAAATCTGGGTCAAGAGCAAAGTAACCAGGGTGGGGGTAGGAGACGGGGGAGAGGGGGGGGGGTGCTTGCAGAGATGGGGGGAAGGGGGAGAGGACAGGACAGGGGATCCTGCAATTGGAGGGGAGTAAATTCAGAGAGAATTTACCCAAACACTAGTAGTGAACCCGAGGGAGAATTTTGAATCAGGAAATGTTGATTTTGATTGTACAGGTGACTGCCAGGAAGGTGGGAGGCGAACTAGGTGGACGTTGGTCTTTTTTTTACTAGCATTTCTTATGTTCTTATATACATGATTAACTTGAGATGTGGGGAGTTTAAATCCAGGGCAAACACTAACCTGAATAAATTATCGCACTTTTATTGGGATTATCAAGCTACAATGTCTGTCTGTGCTTCGCAGAGAAGTGTTCTCAAGTGTAGTGACTGTGTGTTTTGTGAGTGAACGCAGCAGCAGCCAGTTTGCACACAGCAACATCCTGCAAACAGCCGTGAAGTGAGCGACCAATTTTATCTGAGGGACTGTCAACCAGGACATCAGGAGAGAGAAAAGAAACTCCCTTCTCATTTCCCAGCAGTGCCACTGGATCTTTAATGCCCACCTGAACAGGGCACAGATAGGGAGTGAGGTTTAACGTCTCATCTGAAGGACAGTCCCTCAATGCGGCACTCTCTCTCTCTCTCTCTCTCTCCCCAGCACCAAGCTGGAATCAACTTGGACTGTGAGCTCAGAGTCCCTGACGTGAGGGCTCAAACCCATGACCAACCTGACACTTGCATCATAGACATAACACAACCTCCGTGGCCTAAGGCCCTGAAGGGTATTGAGGTTCTGGGTGTGGTTAGAAAGAGGCTGGCAGGGAGGGAGGGGAGGGAGGGAGGGTGTAATGGGAGACTTGGAGCTCCATACCTGAGGTTCAGACAGACGACTCATGTCCGGGTAAAGGTAAAACTTGATGCCTTCGGATGCTCCCGGGAGTGTGACACCACGAATCAACAGAACCAGCAGCATCAGGTAGGGGAAGGTGGCCGTTACATACACCACCTGCAGAGAGAGAGACATGATCATCAGCTCCATCAATGGTCATTCGCCCACAAATATACGGTCAATTCACTTTACAGTCTATTCTGTGAAGTGCTTTGAAACGTCGAGAAGACGTGAAAAGCGCTATATCAAATGCAAGGATTATTATTATTATTATTATTATTATTATTATTATCAACAGCCCATCACCAGGTAACTGACCAAAACAGCACTCAGCACAGCAGACAGACAGACAGACAGACAGACAGACAGACAGACAGACAGACAGACAGACAGACAGACAGACAGACAGACAGACAGACAGACAGACAGACAGACAGACAGACAGACAGACAGACAGACAGACAGACAGACAGACAGACAGACAGACAGACAGACAGACACAACTGTGAAATCAAATGGGTTTACAGCATGTCAGCTCAGTAGTCCCAGAGGGCAACAACGGTCAATAATAAGTAACAATAATAAATAATAATAGCAAAAAATAATAAATAAAAAATAACAAATAATAATAACAATAATAAAAAACAAAAAATAACACTAACAATGCTTGTATTTGATACTATTTCATTTTTGTTTATGCAACGCTTTTTATTTCAGAAGGATATCTCAAAAGCGTTTCACAGGAATTTACTTTTTGTAGGCAAATGTGGCAGCTGATTTGCACCCAGCAATGTCCCCACAAACAGACCAGTAACTGGATGACTCATTTTATCTGGCGGCTTGTCGGTTGGGACATCGGGAGGGAGAGAGAAACTCCCCTTTTGCAATAGCTTTAACATCCATTTGTGGAGTCCTGTAGCTCAGTGGTTAGAGCACTCGCTTTGCAAGCGAGAGACCTGAGTTCAATTCCAGGCAGAGGGCGAAACCTTGGGCAAGTTTCCTTACTCCACACAGAGCCTAATAATAATCCCTCCAAAACCAAAAACAATAATAAATTGGTCATTTTCAATCTACAGCTGTTTGTGGGACATTGCTGTGCGCAATTGGCTGCCGCGTTCGCCCACAAATATACAGTCAATTCACTTTACAGAGTGTTCTGTGAAGCGCTTTGGGACGTCCTCCCGACGTGAAAAGCGCTATATCAAATGCAAGGATTATTATTATTATTATTATTATCCACCGGAACAAGACACATAGATGGGGAGTGAGGTTAACGTCTCATCTCTGACAATGTGTGGCTCCCCCAGCACTGTGGGGGGTGGGGTGGGGGGATGAGAGGCACTGGGACGTATTTGTTTATTGCAAGGGAATTATTGGGGTGACCAGGGAGGTTAGAGTGGGATGTTATTGGGATGCACAGTCGGGCAAGATGAGATCAAGTGGTCTTCTTCACCCCCAACCCCTCTCGTGACGTTTCCGAGCCCTGAAACTTCCCTTACTTTTAGCCCGTGTGACCGCAGTGCCTTTCCAGTTCAGACAGTGCAGGATTGTGGAAAACCCCTAACTCGGCAAAACATATGGGAATGAAGATTGAGAATTCTCGGGAAACCTTAGAGTTTAAGACGGGACGTGCAACAGACACAGGCTGAGACTGGGGGGAGTTTCAGGCCTGACTGAGAAGACGGAGAGCAGCAGGCAGGAGGCTGAAGGACTCGTCTCAACCATGTTCGTCACCCCTGACCTAAATCCTGCAGCTGCCCTGCGGGGGGGAGCACTCCTTCCCCCAGCGACCTTTCAACTCCGATCTGTCTGACTATAACCCCGCAAACAGGCTTCACCACCCTGACAGCCCCACGTGTAACATTCCTCTCTCTAGATATTTTAAGTTTCCTCACCCCACACGCCTAATAATAATCCCTCCGAAACAAAACAATAATAAATTGGTCATTTTCAATCCACGGCTGTTTGTGGGACGCTGCTGTGCGCAATTGGCTGCCGCGTTCGCCCATAAATATACGGTCAATTCACTTTACAGTATATTCTTTGAAACGGTTAAAAGATGTGGAAAGCGCTATATCAAATGCAAGGATTATTATTATTATTATTTTGTCTCCTCTTACTCTCTACTCTCTCGCTTTCCTCTTCCTCCCACTCTCTCTCTCTCAGTAGCTCCGATTTCATGCCACAGTGTGTGGGCTCTCAGTGGCTCGTGTGCAGTGAACTCCGGGACCTGTATGTGTGTGTGAACACAACAACGAGGCTGATCTAAAGGTGGGCGGTGGGGGTGGGTTAGGAGCAGAAGCTGTCGGTGGAGATAGGCTGGGTGGCTGGGCAATGGGCTGGGTGGCTGAGAGGTGGGGTGGGGGCTGTCAGTGTCGGGGCCTATCAGTGGGAACAGACTGGGTTATCACTAACAGAGGAAGATAAGGCAAGGGTGTGGTGGGCGTTGGTCAATGTAATGGGAAGCAAGGTTGGGCGAGATGAGATCAAACAGGCCAAAGGATCTTCTTCACCCCAACCCCTCTCGTGAGCCCTGAAATTCCACCTAGTTTTACCCTGAGAGACCGCATTGCCTTCCTATTTCAAGTAGCGCAGAATCCACATGTTTCACCGTGTGGACGTGTGGATGACGCTGTATTTGTGGTGGAGTTTTTGACCACTCCCCACCCCCATTGCTTTCTGTAATGCTAGGCTCGCGGCTCTTGTTAAAGGCCTGAGCCTCCTGATTGCCATTCGCAGTCACTACCGTCCCCGGGCTCAGATTCCTGTAAAAAAATGCTTTCCAAAATCCCCCACAAGCACAGGGCATCCCACCGAGTCGCCTAGAGACAGAGTGAATGCTGGCGGCTGCAGAGAGAGCTCTCAGTGCTGCTGTCAGTCCTGCCGTGGAGGAGGTGTAGAGGGAACACAGTAAAGATCCCTCTCCTTCCCTCCTGTGAATACACAGATCAGTCTCTGCTCTGCGCTAATGCCTCTCGGTGAAGCGCTATTCTTTGCCACCACTGTAGCCCCAAACAAAAGACACTTCAGCAGAAAATATCTTTGCTGACTCGAGCCTTTCCCTGGACCACCACAATGGAGCTGATTCCTTTGCTTGCTCTCGACACTTCTCTTTTCCATTCTTCACTGTTCCTTTATGCCTCATTGAATCCATTAGAGGCTCATTCTAATGCGCTTTTCAAAACCTCTTCTTGAGCACAGCCAGTATCAGAGAGCTGGCTGGCACCGAGGTGGGGGGCTGGAGGTTGGGGGCTGGGGTTGAGGAGTGGGACTGGGGCCTGTGGGGGAATGGGGAGGGGGGCTGGAGGCTGGTGACAGGGGCTGGGGGCTAGGGGTAGGGTCTGGGGGTTCAGAGTTGGGGGTGGGGCCCGGGGTGGGTGACTGGGTGCTGAAGCAAGAGACCAAAGGTAAATGCTCAAAGCAAAGATAAAGGATAACCAGGACTTCACAGTCACTTTTCAGTCACAGTCACATTGACTATTTATTCCTCCCCCTCCCTCTTCTTCCCTCTCGGCTGAAGACCTTTCTCTCGGCTGAAGACCCTTCTTTTCGACCGCACTTTTGGTCATTTTCCCCCCCCCTCCCCCAGCGGGCCCCGGGATCTGTCACTGTGACGCGCTCTGAGATGCCATCTGGCGTGGAGGGTGCTATATAAATCGAAGTTGTTGTTGTTTTCCTCCTCTTCCTCTGATGGAGTATCTTAGACGGCCATTGTGAGCGTAACAATCCTCAGTGTTACCGCATGTCCGGGTGGGGTTGGGGATTGGAGTTTGGGTAAAGGGGTTGAGAACTGGGGTGGGTGGGGGCCGGAGTCATAGCCAGCAGTTTAGGGGATGATTTTTCCCACAAACTGATGCTCGCTTTCAGCAATAAGAGCCACGACATTCTATAAAACAACAGGTGATGGTGTATGTCACTGTGGAGACAGAGATGCTGTGTTTTGGTTGTTGACACACACGGAAACCCATCACTGTTGCTTAAGAGTCTCCAAACCAAACTGAGAATTCCATGCCTCCCATCCACACTTGGAAATCCGAGAGATATATTATTGGAATGGAATGTGTACTCTCTCTCTCTCTCCCTAGAGGGACACATCCTTGCTTACCTAATTCCGGAGAGTACTAGGCACAGATTGGCAAGAGCCAAGATTTGGGGAGTCCAGAGTGTGCATGGGGTAACTGCTGAAGCCTCATAGCTTACCATTGATAGCTTGGTGTGTGGTCGGAAGCGCAGGGAGGTGGGGGGACGCTGCGTGGGAGAACGCTGTGTGGGAAGGGGGCGCGGAATGCTGTGCGGAGTCAGAGTGCTGTGCCAGACTCCTGGAATCACCTCACCTTGCCAGTGGACTTGGGCCCTTTCCATATGCAAAAGTAGCAAATGATCCAGGCAGCCAGCAGACACAGGGCTAGTTCCCACCGCACATTCCCGATCTTCTCTATTCCACTCGATAATCCCAGCACTCTCCGTCTGACAACAACAACACCACCTCAAAAAGTCACATTTCCACTTATCCCAAAATACCCCTCCTCCTTCCCCCAGGAAAGTATTGCGGAGATCACAACACAAGTCAAAATACCTGACCCTGACTGGAGATTTTCAATCTATTTACCAGCAGTAAGTAGGAACCCACTTGTTAGTCAATTGCTAGATCGTTTTCTGGGGGTAATAATCTCTCCAAAAAATAAAAAAATTTGGTCACTCAACTCACGACCGTTTGTGGGCCACTACTGCGCGCAATTGTCTGCCACATTTCACCCCCAAGAAATATACAGTCCTTACACTTTGCAGTGTATCCTGTGAAGCGCTTTGAGACATCTCAATGACGTAATAAGACTGATGTAGTGAATGAAGACTGAACACTGAAATTCCTCCAAGTTCTTAGCCTTTGGACAATTTAAGAAGGTACAATTTTGGGGGAAAATTTAGTGGAAAAATCATCTGTGTTTCTAAACTATTCTCGAATGAGAGCATTTTAGCTGTCACCCACAAAATACACAATCACTGCACTTTACACTAAATCCCGTGAAGCACTTTGAGACGTCTCAACGACGTCATAAGGCGTTATATCAAATGCAAGGTTTATTATTATGGAAACCCTTTTCGAGTGGGTTCGAACTAAAAAAAATAGGTAATTCTAACTTCACTGAAAATAATTCTATTTGTAATTATAAAATTCTATACAATATGTAGAATAGTATGATGAATATTCTATAAGTATATTCTGCATGGTCACAGCTTGATCTGGTTACACTTCAGACACCCAGCTCAGAGAAATAGAAGTCACAGAAATAGAAGTCAGAGAAATAGAAGTCAGTTACAAACAACAATAAATTATGAATGTCTAATCCAATTAAATCAACTCATGGAAGCGCTTCCCGAGCCACACGCCTCTTCCCAGAGTTTTCCCCAAGTCTCGATTCCCATTAAAACCTGCTCCTGTTTATTGGCTGCTGTGATTAACCTTCTATCGCTCATACTCACTCCCAAAACTCAATGACAGACGAGGTCCCATTGCGGGTGTTGTCTTGGGTACAGTTGGTGATGTTCAGCTTCTGAAACTCCACACAGTTCTCTTCAGAGATAGGAAAGCGGGATTGGGGGGGATAGAGGGGGAAGGAGAGAGGGTAGAAAGGGGAGAGTGTGAGAGGAAGAGAGACAGTGAGGGTGGGAGAGGGAAGGAGGATAAAAAGAAAGGGGGGGGAGAGAGGACAGAGTAGATAGGGAAGTAAGTGGGAGAGGGGATAAAGGAGGGAGTGGAGGAAACAGAAGAGATCAACAGTCAGCGACAAGGTGGGGCAGAGCAGGATGGTGCGTGTTTGTAGACGGACAGTGTGGGGTGTGTGATGTGGGGTGTGAGTGTGCAGTGAGGGGTGGGTGTCAGGGAGAGGGGTGGGTGCCAGGGAGAGGGGTGGGTGCCAGGGAGAGGGGTGGGTGCCAGGGAGAGCTTACTTGTATTCCAATGGTGATCACAGCTGGCCCAGGGCAGCTCGCTGGTAAAGGAGTTCAGTAGATAGAAGATGGCCCAGGCCAGGACTATGATATAATAGATGTTCACGTGAGCCTCAATGACCTGAGTGGCGTAGCCAATGCCTGCGGGAGAGAGAGAGAGAGACAGGGTTGAGCCGGGCAGGGCTGGGTTTGGGGCTGAGGGTTGGGGGTGGAGATAAGGTTGGGCATGTGGTTGGGGCTGGGGTTGGACCATGTGTTCGGGCTGGGGGTTGGAGCTGGGGCTGGCGTTGGGTTGGTTTGGGGCCTTACCTTCAAACAGTGGGCAGATCTGCCTCCAGCAGGTGATGCCACCCTGGCTGGTGAACTGCCCCAGCGCCGTCTCCAGCAAAAACACAGGGATCCCACAGCACACAAAGAATATCACATAGGGGATCAGGAAGGCACCTATAAAGAGAGAGAGAGGAGAGGGGGGAATAAGAGAGATGGAGGAAAGAGGAGATGGAGGAGAGAGAGACAGTGAAAAGATGGGGAGAGATGTGAAGGGGGGGGGGGGTGAGAGAGGAAAGAGAGAATAAGAGAAATGGGGGGAGAGAGGGAGGGAAAGAAGGAGAAATGAGAGGGGAGGAATACAATAGGGGGAGAGAAGAGATAGATTATTAAACATTACACAGACCATCCCTGCTCCCCAAAGAACCATAGTGTGTGAGAGAGTGTTGAGGTGTCAGACTGAGATAGACATAGGGGAGAGGGGTTGGGGTGAAGGGTTGGGGTGAGGGGTTGGGGTGAGGGGTTGGGGTGAAGGGTTGGTGTTAGGGTTGGTGTTAGGGTTGGGCTGAGGGGTTGGGGTGAGGGTTGGTGTTAGGGTTGGGGTGAGGGGTTGGTGTTCGGGTGAGGGGTTAGGGTGAGGGGTTGGGGTGAGGGGTTGGGGTGAAGGGTTGGGGTGAGGGGTTGGTGTTAGGGTTGGGGTGAAGGCTGGGGTTGGGCTGAGGGGTTGGTGTTAGGGTTGGGGTGAGGGGTTGGTGTTAGGGTTGGGGTGAGGGGTTGGGGTGAAGGGTTGGGGTGAAGGCTGGGGTTGGGGTGAGGGGTTGGGGTTGGGGTGAGGGGTTGGGGTGAGAGGTTGGGGTGAAGGCTGGGGATGGGGTGAGGGTTCGGGGTGAAGGGTTGGTGTTAGGGTTGGGGTGAGGGTTGGTGTTAGAGGTTGGGGTTGGGGTGAGGGGTTGGGGTGAGGGTTTGGGGTTGGGGTGAAGGCTGGGGTTGGGCTGGGGGGTTGGTGTTAGGGTTGGGGTGAGGGGTTAGGGTTGGGGTGAGGGGTTGGTGTTAGGGTTGGGTTGAGGGGTTAGGGTTGGGGTGAGGGGTTGGTGTTAGGGTTGGGGTGAGGGGTTAGGGTTGGGGTGAGGGGTTGGGGTGAGGGGTTGGGGTGAGGGGTTGGGGTGAGGGGTTGGTGTTAGGGTTGGGGTGAGGGTTGGGCTGAGGGGTTGGGGTGAGGGTTTGGGGTGAGGGTTTGGGGGGCAGTAGAGGGGTGGGGGTGGGGGACAGTAGAGGGGTGGGGGTGGGGGTCAGCACCGTACCTCCGCCGTTCTTGTAGCACAGATAGGGGAACCGCCACACGTTGCCGAGGCCGATGATCTCTCCGGCCACTGACAGCACAAACTCCACTTTGTTGTTCCAGTGGCCGCGCTCCCGGACCCGCTGTTGGGCACTCACCAGTGCGGCATTGGACGCCTCAGTGTCCGGGACATCCTCTGACTTCCCGTTGAGGATGGGGTCAGCTTTCACCTGTCTCATGGTCTGCAATAGTCACCTGGGACAGGCGGGAGGGGGGTCAGCGTCTGTCTGTCATGAGGGGACACTGGTCTGTCTGTCTGTCTGTCTGTCACGGTGTCAGTGCCGGTGGGTCTGAGCGTGAGGGAGTGGGTGGGGGGAAGACTGTGTGTGTGACTGTGAGGGAGTTAATGTGTGTGTGACTGTGAGGGAGTTAGTGTATGTGTGACTGTGAGGGAGTTAGTGTGTGTGACTGTGAGGGAGTTAGTATGTGTGTGACTGTGAGGGAGTTAGTGTGTGTGACTGTGAGGGAGTTAGTGTGTGTGACTGTGATGGAGTTAGTGTGTGTGTGACTGTGAGGGAGTTAGTGTGTGTGACTGTGAGGGAGTTAGTGTGTGTGACTGTGAGGGAGTTAGTGTGTGTGTGACTGTGAGGGAGTTAGTGTGTGTGTGTGACTGTGAGGGAGTTAGTGTGTGTGACTGTGAGGGAGTTAGTGTGTGTGTGACTGTGAGGGAGTTAGTGTGTGTGACTGTGAGGGAGTTAGTGTGTGTGTGTGACTGTGAGGGAGTTAGTGTGTGTGACTGTGAGGGAGTTAGTGTGTGTGACTGTGAGGGAGTTAGTGTGTGTGTGACTGTGAGGGAGTTAGTGTGTGTGACTGTGAGGGAGTTAGTGTGTGTGACTGTGAGGGAGTTAGTGTGTGTGTGTGACTGTGAGGGAGTTAGTGTGTGTGTGTGACTGTGAGGGAGTTAGTGTGTGTGTGTGACTGTGAGGGAGTGTGTGTGACTGTGAGGGAGTTAGTGTGTGTGACTGTGAGGGAGTTAGTGTGTGTGACTGTGAGGGAGTTAGTGTGTGTGACTGTGAGGGAGTTAGTGTGTGTGACTGTGAGGGAGTTAGTGTGTGTGTGACTGTGAGGGAGTTAGTGTGTGTGTGACTGTGAGGGAGTTAGTGTATGTGACTGTGAGGGAGTTAGTGTGTGTGACTGTGAGGGAGTTAGTGTGTGTGTGTGACTGTGAGGGAGTTAGTGTGTGTGTGTGACTGTGAGGGAGTTAGTGTGTGTGACTGTGAGGGAGTTAGTGTGTGTGTGACTGTGAGGGAGTTAGTGTGTGTGACTGTGAGGGAGTTAGTGTGTGTGACTGTGAGGGAGTTAGTGTGTGTGTGACTGTGAGGGAGTTAGTGTGTGTGACTGTGAGGGAGTTAGTGTGTGTGACTGTGAGGGAGTTAGTGTGTGTGTGACTGTGAGGGAGTTAGTGTGTGTGACTGTGAGGGAGTTAGTGTGTGTGACTGTGAGGGAGTTAGTGTGTGTGTGACTGTGAGGGAGTTAGTGTGTGTGACTGTGAGGGAGTTAGTGTGTGTGACTGTGAGGGAGTTAGTGTGTGTGACTGTGAGGGAGTTAGTGTGTGTGTGACTGTGAGGGAGTTAGTGTGTGTGACTGTGAGGGAGTTCGTGTGTGTGACTGTGAGGGAGTTAGTGTGTGTGTGACTGTGAGGGAGTTCGTGTGTGTGACTGTGAGGGAGTTAGTGTGTGTGTGTTGGGGGGACAGTGAGTAATCCGAATGCAAACTGCCTGAGGAGCTGATATTCCCAGAGACGCCGCTCAGCTCTGAACCATCGCTGCTGTAGAATGCGCTGCCGACGGGGACGATTCGCAACGCCGTGTGATGTTTAGCAGAGGCTGAGAATGCGCTCCTCGCTCCACTCACTCACTCACTCACTTACCGTGCGAGCGATTCTCTGGGGAAGCGTCCTGAGTGCAGTGTGGGGCACAGGCGGGGAGCCAGCGCCTCTCTGTGGGTCTGTGGGGATGGGGACTCCTCTCTCTCCCTCTGTGTCTGTGGGGATGGGGACTCCTCTCTCTCCCTCTGTGTCTGTGGGGATGGTGACTCCTCTCTCTCCCTCTGTGTCTGTGGGGATGGGGACTCCTCTCTCTGTGGCTCTCTCCCTCTGAGTCTGTGGGGATGGTGACTCCTCTCTCTGTGTGTCTCTCTGTGGGGATGGTGACTCCTCTCTCTCTCTCTCTCTCTCTGTCTCTCTCCCTCTGTGTCTGTGGGGATGGTGACTCCTCTCTCTGTGTGTCTCTCTGTGGGGATGGTGACTCCTCTCTCTCTCTCTCTCTCTCTGTCTCTCTCCCTCTGTGTCTGTGGGGATGGTGACTCCTCTCTCTCTGTCTGTCTGTCTCTCACTGACTTGAGTGACTGGGAACAAGCGCACCTCAACCCCCTCTCACAGCCGCTGCCGAATCCCTGGGTTTGGATGTCAGCCAAGTGCTCCCTGTCACTGCCCCCCACCCCCACCTCAAACACTCCCTACATACCCACACACACCCCTCACACCCCTCCCACATACACTGCCCTCACTCACACACACACCTACCCCTCCCCCCCACCCCAACACTGATATGATGAGAGAAGCAGATAGACCAGGGGCATGTGAGTGTGTGTATGTGAGGGGCTGTGTGTGTATGTATGTGTGGGGCTGTGTGTGTATGTATGTGTGAGGGGCTGTGTGTGTATGTATGTGTGAGAGGCTGTGTGTGTATGTATGTGTGGGGCTGTGTGTGTATATATGTGTGGGGCTGTGTGTGTATGTATGTGTGAGGGGCTGTGTGTGTATGTATGTGTGAGGGGCTGTGTGTGTATGTGTGTGTGAGGGGCTGTGTGTATGTATGTGTGAGAGGCTGTGTGTGTAGGTATGTGTGAGGGGCTGTGTGTGTATGTATGTGTGAGGGGCTGTGTGTGTATGTATGTGTGAGGGGCTGTGTGTATGTATGTGTGAGAGGCTGTGTGTGTAGGTATGTGTGAGGGGCTGTGTGTGTATGTATGTGTGAGGGGCTGTGTGTGTATGTATGTGTGAGGGGCTGTGTGTGTATGTGTGTGTGAGGGGCTGTGTGTATGTGTGTGTGAGGGGCTGTGTGTGTATGTGTGTGTGAGGGGCTGTGTGTGTATGTATGTGTGGGGCTGTGTGTGTAGGTATGTGTGAGGGGCTGTGTGTAGGTATGTGTGAGGGGCTGTGTGTATGTGTGTGTGAGGGCTGTGTGTATGTGTACGTGTGAGGGGCTGTGTGTATGTGTGTGTCTCGGGGCTGTGTGTGTATGTGTATGTCGAGGCTGTGTGTGTATGTGTGTGTCTCGGGGCTGTGTGTGTTTGTGTGGTGTGTGAGGGGCTGTGTGTGTATGTGTGTGTAACTGGCTGGTGTGTGTGTGAGGGCTGTTGTGTAAGTGTGTGTGAGGGGCTGTGTGTATGTATGTGTGAGGGGCTGTGTGTGTGTGTGTGAGGGCTGTGTGTGTATGTGTGTGTGGGGCTGTGTGTGTATGTGTGTGTGAGGGGCTGTGTGTGTATGTGTGTGTGAGGGGCTGTGTGTATGTATGTGTGAGGGGCTGTGTGTGTGTGTATGTATGTGTGTCTGTGTCCCCAGTCCCCAAAAGCCTAAGCCTGTGTCTGTGCAGAATGCAGTTATAAATGGAAGGCAAAGTACTGTACTGCAGATGCTGGAATCTGAAATAAAAACCGACGTCGCTGGGAGCACTCAGCAGGTCAGGCAGAATCTAGGCTATATGGCTATGATGCTGCCTGACCTGCTGAGTGTTCCCAGTCACTTCTGTTTTTATTGCACTTGTAATTGGTTTGTGCACAGTCTTCACAGTGAGCCCACACTCCCCTGATACTGCGCTGGGGAAAGGCTTGAACGTGTTAGCTATCATTGTGCAGTAGGTAAATATTCACAGGGCGACTGGCCAGTCCCTCATTGTAACTGCACAAATCCTCTTTCTCCTCTCCTCTCTCCATCTCTCCCCTCTAACACTCTTATTACCTCCATCTCTCTTCTCTCTCTCCCCCCATCTCCCCCTTCCCTCCCTTACCGCTCTTCTATCCCTCTCTTCCCCTCTCTTATCGCCCTCTCTCCCTTCCTCTTCTGTCCTCTCGCCCCCTTCTCTTCTCTCACCCTCTCTCTCCCCTTTTCCCCTTCCTCCTCTCACCCTCTCCTCTGTCGTTTCTCTCCTCGTAACACTCTCTCTCCCCCTCTCACTCTCCCCCTATTAGCTTTTCCCACGCCTTGTGAGCAAAGAGCTCGGATAGACTCAGACTCCTCCCAGAACATAAATGGACGGTTCCAAATCAATTAAAGTTTATTTTTACCTAAAACACTCTTCAGCTTGGTTTGTGTTGAGACACCAAAGTCCAGCACTGACAGCTCCTGAGCCTCTCACTGAACAACACGTCCTGAACAGCTCAACACCCCCCACCCCCCCACACACCACCACCACACAGCAGTAAAATGGATTTATTGAAGGATTAGGGTATTCACAGTCCAGGTTGACCCCCCCCCCCCCCAGTGCAGGGTTGGGGGCAGAGAGTGCTGCATTTTCAGGGGTTCCGTCCTTCAGATAAGAAGTTAAACCTCAATTACCATCCGTGCCCTGTTCAGGTGGACGTGAAAGATCCTGCGGCGCTGTCAGGAAAAGAGAAGGGAGTTTTTCTCTCCCCGTGTCCTGGCTGACAATCCTCCAGATTAAATCGGCTGCCAAGTTTGTCCAGAAATACCCAATCACTACACTTTACAGCAAACTGCGTAGCGCTTTGAGATGATTTGAATTGATGAGATTGTATCAATGCAAGGATTTAGCGCCTTGGGAGGTCCTCCCGACGTGAAAGGCGCTAACAAATGTAATCTTGTTGTTGTTGTAGGGTTTCTGAATAATGGTGAGGGTCAGGTTATGGTTTGGGCAATGGCTGGTTACAGAATACATAGCCTCTGGTGAATGAGGCTGGAGTGGGCCCTGCTTTGTTGACCGGGTGAAGGACCTTTCAAATCTAAGCTCAGAGCTGTGTGTATGTGTGGGAGGGGAGGTGGGGGGCAGGGCAGCGGAGGGGGGAGAAGTGGGGGAGATAGTGTACTATCATGCCTGACCCTAATGCCCCTGGGGACTTTAAGCTATAGTTCAGTGTTAGGAGTGAACGGCTGACACACTGTCATGTAACCCTCTGATCCCAAACCACACGCAATGTCAGAGCAGCCACCAGCTTTGTGTAACATGGGAATAATTGTCACTCTGGGAGTCAGACCCATGATGAGGGTCTGCCTTTCTCTCTCTCTCTCTCTCTCCCTCTCTCTCTGTCTCTCTCCCCCTCCCCCTCTTTCTCACCTGAGGTGGTATCAGGGACCAGGCTTTCATGAACTTCCTGTGGATGGGCAGTGGCTGAACACGAGCCAAAGAACATTAACCCGGGCCAGGCTGGGCTCGGAGGTCAGTGGAACCCTACTCCCTCAGCCGATCAGCCAACGTGTTTGTGGGTGCAAACACAGCAGCCAATTCGTATGTTTGAGCAACAGCCTTGAGGTGAATGACCATTTTCAACAACAACAACAACAAGATTCCATTTATAGAGCGCCTTTCACGTCGGGAGGATGTCCCAAGGCGCTGAAAATTTTCAGGATGATTCCTCAATACAAATTGAACTAATTTGGAGATATCCCCTTATAATAGTTCCCATAATGGTACCATTCTTGGTTTGTGCCTTATGACACCGGGTCCCATTGTCGCCTGAGATTCGAGCAGTTGTTATGAAAACTAATCACCCAAACAGCGATCTGTGTTATTATATTCTGACTATTTCCTGGAGTAACATATTTCTCCCTCAAAATCCTTCATCTTGTATCTATACACATGTGTCCAGGCTACAAAGGGCTCACTATGAATTCACTTAACCTAGTTGCAGTGTTGTCTACAGACTAGGCCAACGTTAACAATAAATTTCACTTTACAACTCGTATGTAATCAGGGCATTGTCAGCTGTCAGAACACTCATACATAGAGCTCCAGTGGGGGAGCGAGCCCCAGCACAGACACGATGGAGAGAGAGAGAGAGAGCAGGGAATGGGGTTAGAGTCGAGAGCTCCAGTGGGGGAGCGAGCCCCAGCACAGACATGATGGGGCGTTTACCATCTCTTCTGTACCAGATGTTTCAGAAATATCAGCGACCAACACGGGAAACCTTACAACATTTTCACACAGCAAAAGGCAACCTTGGATTGATTCTCCACGTGCAAACATTACAGAATGCTTGTGTTTATCACTGCAACTGCTTACAGTCTCAAACACGTGCTGTCTGCGTGTACACAGCATGAGGAAATCTCCTCCAACAGCACATCCACAACTCTCTGTGGTGTAATAACCCCTACAGGAGGACACATCTATGATTGGACAATCTCTGAAGGGCAGGGTTTCTTCATGGCCTCAGATCCACCTTCCAAAGCCCAATTTCCGTGTGTCATACACCCAGCTGATCACGGTGATGGGTTTTCGTGTGAGAGATACCGGCTGGAAACCCATTACCGTGTTTCAGACTATCCAAACCAGATTGAGAGTCCTACATATGTACGTCACCTACATATGGAAATTTCCCTGTGTCTGGAATGGAATGCGCACTCTCTCTCCTCCCACATAGCTTGCCATTGATATTGCTGTCTGGCAAGTTTTCCCACTGCTTGTCCAGCTAGGAGCACCCTCCCCGTTAGGGCTTTGGCTGCAGGGTTAACAGGAGCTGAGGTGGAAGATTCCCTGCCCCCAGTGAATGGTTCGCCCTTTCAGGTCCTGCCGATGAGCCAGGCCGGGCTGTGCTGCCATCAGCAGTGAGTGCACTGGGACACTGCGGACTCGCCTGGCTCAGGAACCGGACTAGAGACCATCACAGAGGGCTGGCTTGATTCCGACACTCTATTGCCAGCATGTCTTCTTGGGGCCAGTTGAGCTCCAGGGAGACCCTATGGTGGTAGAAATCCAAGGAGAAGGAGATCACTGGGCCAATGGAGTCAGATGTTCCTCTGTC